TTCTGTCCTTACCACATAAGGTCCCTGGGTCAGTCTGGAAGCTGCTCCAATTCCATAGACAAGTAGTCCTTGACTTACCATTTCAAGAGGCAACTGGACTTTCTGGTTTTTCTTTGAAGATGTTTTGCTTCTCATCCAAGAAACTTCTTCAGCTCCGACTGGATGATGTGGAATGGAAGGATTTATACTCCTTGCAGACAGCTGGTCATTTGCATCATTTTAGCAGGATGTTAAGATCACTTGGAGGTTTATCTGTGTCCTCAGCGTCACCTGAGTGGTGCAAATTGGTGTGGAGTCTCCTTGGAACTGTTGAAAGGCCTGTGTTGTAGATTGGAGATAGATAACATCATATCCCTCCCTCTCTATTGAGAGTGGACTATTCAATTTTGATACAGATGGCCTTTTTGACCCCTCTTTCAAACCAGCGGTCCTCTCTGTCCAAAATATGGACTTTTCTGTCTTCAAAAGAGTGGTGCGTGTCTTTTAAATGCAGGTGGACTGCTGAAAATAGTCCTGATGTGTTTGTTCCCCCATATTGGGCCACGTGTTTATCAAAATTCAAATGCTTGGCAACTGACTCATATTTATGACGGTTGCAGTATCCTGGGGTCATGTGATCAGCTTCTGTGACCTGACAAAGTCAATGAGGAAGCCAGGTTCACTTAACAATCATGTTACTAATTTAAGAATTGCAGTGATTCAGTTCTTAACAACTGTGGCAAGAAACTATCACACTTAGCAATGGAAATTTTGGGCTCAATTGTGATCATGAGCTGAGGATTATCTGTGTGATCCATGGCTGACAGTTTTCCATTAAGCCTGGGCTGAGTGCTCTTTAAGCCAACCCCTGGCACTGATTCACTTAACAATGGTGGCAAGAAATATCATAAAAAGGGCATAATTCACTTAGGTGAGCAACATATATTTTGGGCTCAGTTATGGTTGTAAATTGAAAACTACCTGTATTCCAGCATGTTAGATAGTCACTGCAGTTGGCAGTTTGGGGGCGATGGATTAAATGTAAGAATCTGCCTCAGCTACCTCTTCAGGAAAGCATAACTCTTGAAACAATTGGCATTCTGAAAGGAACTTTTAGGGGGAGAAAGTGTTTGCAGAGAGGTCAGGTGAAATCTGAAGTTCCCATGCAAAGCATTAAGCTATTTTTCCCATTCAAATCCCACCACAGTGGTCCTTGGTCCACCAGTAGCCAATACAGTGCCTCCAAAGTGTTTTGAGAACTCTGAGGTGTTACTTGATAATGATTCATCCTCAGGATGCCATGACCTTGGTAACAGGCGACAGTTGGCTTGGAGGCATCTATCTTGTTGACTTGGTCCCTCTCCCTAAATCCCATGTGATTACAGCAAAAGCAAGCAAAGAATCTTGCCCCAGATGGCAATTTTCTCCCCCTTGGAATGGCAACGTTCTAGAAGGGACTTGATACTAAGATTGCAAGAAAATTGCAAAAATTCTCTGGGTATTCAAACAGTGAGGGGGGGGAATCAAAGTTGGCAAGATCTTCTCTATCATATGTCCCCTTCTTTCCCTTTCTCAGGAGACATTTTAGGAGGAGCGATAAAGAATCTCAATCAGCTTCTCAAGATGCCCTACGGCTGTGGGGAGCAGAACATGGCCCTCTTTGCCCCCAATATCTACATCCTGAAATATCTCAATAACACTGGACAACTGACGGAGGAGATCAAAGCCCAGGCCATCGGATATATACAGACTGGTGAGAAGCATCCCACGGGAATTCTCCTCTCATTCTTTCCCTACTGCAGTTGGGAACTTTCAAAGGCTCAATTGATAGATCAGTCACTGGTATTGACAGTCTCAATCATTAGTAATATAGAGAACCAGTTTGGTGTACGCTGACCTGGAAACCAGGAGATTGTGAGTTCTAGTACTTCCTGAGCACAAAAAAATGACTGAGTGATTTTGGGTTAGTTGCTCTCTCTTGGTTCAACTCACCTCAAAAGGTTGATTGGGTAAAATACA